TCAAGTGCAAGTTTGACTTAATTTGACCCATGGAGTGCCCTCGTTTGACTGATTCAAAAGTCCAACTTAGAAGCTTTGCATGGCTGTGCACTCTTTACAAAAGTTGTAGCTAATTTATCAAGGAACAAAAGTTGTTTTATGACCAACTCATGAAAATGGCTAGAGCATGCTCAAAAGGGTCCCACAAGTCAGCTTTGAAGGTGGATTCAACACTTGAAATTATTTCTAAGTCCTAAAATGCAATTTCAGGTTGGATTGGGTCAACTTTGGCGTGATATAACCCGTGATCCGTTGAGAGTTAGCTGTTGATTTCTAAATAAAAGTTGTAGCCCTACTATAGCTCTACAACTTTCATGTTAACTGCTTTCCTCTAACTCATCATGGTTTGGGAGATCATCATCTTTGAAATTAAAACATCGATTGGGCCTGTCGAAACTGAAATGAACATTCGGACTCGCTTCTGATGGACCGACCGGCATTGACACCGTTGCCGCCAGCGTGTCCGCCACGCCTTTCGGCTCGTCTCCGACTGCACTGCTACTGGCATTTTGAAGTGGAGCATGCCCGCACGCCTCCGTCCTCCCATTCACTCTCTTTTCTCCTCCTTCGCCTTCCATCATGAAAGCAAAGAACCGACCGGCAGCTCCACCATTGCTCACAGTGCTCAAGCTCGCGCTCACTCAGGTCACCACCGCCAGCTAGCTAGCTTCCGTCTAGAGCTCCGCCCGTGCCCTCCTCTCACTCGTTGGCCTTCTATCCGCGACATCCGAGCCCTAGGTGAGAGCCATTGGCCGTTTTTCCGATGTTGCCGCCATGGCCAGTACCTCGCGGAGAGCTAGCGCTCGTTGTGGCCGGCCGCCTCCGCTTCCTTCCTGCCTCTTCTAGTGCATGCATGGGGACCCTTAGGATCCGTAGTGTCTACCTCATAGACGTAGTCGCTGGATTCACCGCCGTTGAGCCGGAGCACGGCCGCGCACCGCCGTGCGCCATGGCCGAGCCGCCGAGCTCCATGTCCGGCGCACCTAGAGACCGGTAGGGTTTAGGGTTAGGATATCAATCGACGCGTAAGGTTGAGGAGGTCACGTAGGTGCCGTCCATCGTCGCCGAGAAGCCGCCGTCGGCGAAGCTCCGCCGGATTTCCGCATCTGAGCCACGCCTGCTTTTTGGTCTCGGCGACACATGCGGGCCCTCGCTTGTCGGGCGGCCGACGCTGCCAGCAGAAGAGCCGACTTAAATGAGCAGCGTCTTGGGCAGCGCCAACACAGATTCGGTATTAAATGCTGCCCGTTCCCGGGTAGGCCCAACAAATGATCGTGATTTATTTTCTTATTTTGTTTGCTTTATTATTTCACCGAATTGTGTTGTTATTCAAAAATATGTAGCTCCTAGTATATAGATCCAAATGATGTGGTTCTAATTTTGTTAGGTTCCTGGTCATGTCTAGTATTTAACAAAAATATTATATGAGCACATGTTTTAGAAATTTTTGATGAATTAATTAGGACTTGGAAATGTGTTTTTGGATACATGTAAACTTGTTTGAATTTTATCTTGAGTTTCTGTGGTCCAAAAATTATGAAATTTTGTGGGCAGTCTGTTATTGCTTATTAAAAGCTCTGGTAAAAATTTTAGAGCTAGTGCATGTGTAGTTTTTAAGTTATAGAATTTCCTTTTATTAATAGGTGGATCTAGTGTGAATTTTCATAATTTTTCTATAGATCCAGTGAAGGTGAAATTTTATGGGTGCTATTCTTATGCTAGAAGGATGCTAGAAAAAATGGAAAATCTGTTGCTTGACACTTTTTAATAAGGTTTCCTAATTATGCTAGAAATAGACATGGCATCTGTTATTTTGGATACAGCAAGTTATGTTGGTCCAATGGCTTTGAAATTTTTATGGTAGTCTATGTGCAGCATGAGATAGCTACTGTAATTTTCGTAGATTTTTATGAATAGTTTTACTATATATTGCTTAAATCACCTAATTAACTAAATAAATTGGAAAAGGATATTAAATAATTTATTTAGAAGTTAGCACTATACTTTCTGATGTTTCTTAGGTATGAAAAACAAGTTGGTAAACTTGGTTTGGTCAAATTAGGCTTTTGCACCATCATTAAATAATTAAGTTAGCAACCCTGTCATTGCGGGACAGATTCTAGGTCTACTGGAATCTGATTTGGGTAACTTCAGAATCATGCCTTGATGTTTGCAAATGAATTATAGAGAATTTTATAAGCTTTCCAGAATGTCCTCTTGCAAGTCATTTGGATTTATAAAACTCTGGTTATGATAGAATTAATTTACTACTTGTTACATATGAAGCTTTAACTGTTATATTAAGTATGTCTTTACTATTCTAAGTTCATGGTACTGTTCCTAGGTGTTAGGCCTTTAACTGAAGATGAGCATCTTTATCTTAGGTTATGCAAGTTAGGTAAGTTGCTCTTGTTATTTAAGTTAAGTTGGATACATACTTAAAGTGATTTGAATAGAGCTAATTACTTTCGGTAACGAAAGTGTCCAAAGATGTTTTTATAAACACCCATTGTGATTCATTCATCATGAGCATCATGTCATTCCTTATGCATCCATGATATTTATATTGTGCACCGGCATGCAATAGGTGTACCGGAAGGAGTAACCTCTTTGGAATTGAGGAACCGTCATGAAAGGCGCAAAGCAACCTGACGCCGGAGATTCGGGAGGAGCAACCTTGGAGAAGTGCGGGACGAGGTCGCCGTTGAGTGCCACGACCACCGTCCTTGCAACTTTGTGAAAGGCAAGCCCTGAGCATATTAAGCCTCCTATTTTCGAACTACGATTCTGATATTATTATTACATATATTGTTGCATTAAGTTTAGGTGTTGGATGCAAACACTTGCCGCATTGGTTACCCATTCCTTGTCCGGATATTGTTACCTCAATCCTATGTAGCTCAGGCTCAAGTAGTGCTTAGCCCTGCTTAAACGCGGTAGAAGTCGGGTGATTTCACATCACCGCGAGATATAGGAAGATACATGTGGCACGGTTGGCTATATTTGCTATCGTGGAAAAGAACCATCTTAATTTGAAATGAAGACCGGACGGAGGCTTGCTTGGGTTTGCGGTGACTCCGTCGTGTCGCTTAAGGACCCATTTCTTGGAGCCTTTCCTGTTCATGTTGAACGCATGCCTCTCTCTTAGTTGGCCGTGTCCGATGACCGACCATGGCCGAGTAGCTCACCTCGGGCCGGGAGTCGATAAGTATAAAGTGCGCCTCGGAAGGGAGCCGTGGGCGTGAGTCCAAGGGCGGGTGATTTAAAAGTCCCGATCGTCCCGGCGGAAGGGTAATCCTGAGAGTGTCTTTGGCGCCGATCGAACCCGCAATTTGGTTCTGAGATGTTCCAAAGGTGACCCACGGCTACCCTTGCAAAGTATGCCAGGGTGAGAGTTAGGAATACCCCTCGGTGAGTTGTAATTCGATTCGAGTCGCCGCTCTCCCGGTTAGTGAGAACTTGATGGGCTTATCTCCAATGTAGAGACACTTAATATCTTAATGGTTCGGAAATGATGATATGATGATGACAACCTTATTATACCGCTATGGTTAATATTGTTTGCTTCTAATAATAAGTGAGTGCTCTAGTACAAAAAGCTAATTTAGTGGACGGGTAAATAATGATAAGCTTGATAATAAGTTTAAATTGGTTACTATAATCATAAGCTCTTTTATGCAACTATGTCAAGCTAGCCCACCCGAAAAGCCTTGCATGATCCTTGGTGTCTTTTATTTCGATTTTTGTCGGGTAAGTCTAGTGAGTACCTTCTCGTACTCGGGGTTTATTTCCACACATTGCAGCAGATGACCGGTTCTTCTTTGGTTGTCGCAAGTCACGCTTTCTCCCTCGCCGGGGATGAAGACTAGACCGTTGGGTGCGGTCTCTACTAGTTCTCGTACACCTTTAATGCTTTTGTGGGACATGACTCGATCCGGCAATGTATTTGAAACTATGAAGTTATGTACTAAACTATGTTGCTTCCGCACACTCAAACTTGGTTTGTAATATTTTATTTGAACTCTGATGGATGTAATCCGAATGCTACTTGTGAAATGTTGTAACGAATGATGTGTTGTGTTGAATCATTACGATCTTGGTTTGTATGTCGAGAGTTGGTTGAAATCCTTCGTGATTTCCGGACTACCGGGATTATGGGAGCCTAAGTACAGGAATTTGATCGCTTCGGTGATTGTTTTTGTACTTACGTTCTTATGATTTGGTCGGTTCTGTTACAACTTCTACTGTGTGTATAGAAATAATATATATTCAGGGGATAAAGTTTAGGGGTGTCACATCGAGGATCACGTGGGAGTGTTCGGATAGTAATAATAAAACAAATTAGTCCTCGTACTCCACGAGACGAATTTATTAAGTCTAATTAGTCCATCACGGATTAATTAGGCTTAATAAATTCGTCTCGCTAATTAGTCGCAATATGTGCAATTAATTATTTTTTTAGTCTATATTTAATACTCTATGCATGTGTCCTGGGATAGGGACTAAATTTTAGGGGATGAACTAAACAAGGCATAAGATGCTTAGCAAAAGTTATATACTAAAAGATCTAGAATGATTTACGATTTGGAAGCGAGGGAGTATACGTGAACACTAGCATTTAATGTTGGCATCCGAGAAGAATAAGGGGGTGTTTGGGACACGGGAATAACGTAGAAATTTCACGGGTACAGGAATGGTAGGAAAGGAAACAAGATTTGCCGTTTGGAACGAAGGAATGTAACCTTCCGTTCCGGAGGAAAGGATTCCATTCACGCACAAAACACGGGAACCAGAAAATCCACTCCGACCCAAGGGAACGGAGGGAACGCTCGGCCGCTCGCTCTCTCGACTCTCCCGCGCCCACTGCCTCCCTCCCGCCACTGCCTCACCCTCCCGCCATGGCCTAAACCCTAGGCACACGGGAGCACGCCGACGCACTCGCCGCCCTCCAGCTCGCACAGATGACGAATCTACGACTTCAAAGTGCATCTGGGGGACAAAAACGGACTCCACCCCTTCCGTCTGCAACACCAGAACATGGTCTTGGCGTTCCCCAATCTGGAGGGGATGGTGAGATCCCACAAAAACAAGGTAATCAATTTGATAATTTTACTTTGTGACTGTATTGCCGTATTCATGTATCCCGACGGCGGCCGACCAAGGCAGCCAGCCAGCCAAGGCCTCGCCCGGCGAGGTCGCGAGCGCGGGCCACAGGCGGGCGCAGCCTCAGCGGGGTGCGGGCGCGGCCGGAGCTCACGTGGCGGGCGTGGCCATGACTCCCACCCGCGAGGAGCTCACATGGCTCCCGAACGGCCATGGCGGGACGGAGCGCAAGGACGGCGGAGTGGGAGAGCACGACCTCGCGGTGGACAACGTTTGGTTTTCTGAAATACTGATTTTCTGATTTTTTTTTCCGCCAATTCAAGATTGCATCTGCTAGTTTGGTGTAGCATTCTAAATTTTATTTGCCATCGAAGACATTGCCTTTCCTTCTTTGCATTTTTTTTAGTCCGTGGCATTCATCTTTCCCAATATTTTGTTAGGCAACAGAAGAGCTGTTGGTAGAGCAAACTGGAACCACCAGAGGATCCTTTATCTTATTGGACTTTTAAAACAACACGATTTACCAAGATTTCGGACAAACAATGCATGGAGCAAGGAAGTATGGACTACTATGGTTGATCAGTTCAATTCAAGGTTTTCTTTAGCATTCACCGTGGGTCAAGTAAAACAAAAGGAACAAGATTTGAAGAAGGATTTTCGAGCTGTAAAGGACTTGCAAGAAGAAAGTGGTTTTGGCTGGGATTCTAATAGAATGATGGTGACCGCACCAGAAAGTGTCTGGATGGGATTGGCGGAACGTCGAAACAAAGACAGTCTTCTTCGATGGCGTGATAAATCATTTCCATACTTTGATGATATGTATGCTTTATATGATGGTGAGTTTCAGTTCATGGATCTAACGGCATATATTTTCATTAAATATTGTTGCACCTATACTTAAAAATATCCTGTACATATTTTGTACAGGTCATTATGCTGAAGGAAGGAGTTGTCATGGAATGGATCATTATGCTAATAAGAGAAAGCAATGTTCAGAAGTTCCTGCTTCACATTCACCTCCACGACATGGTCCTGATACTACATCGACCTTGCATTTTGATGTCAAGAGGACGAGAGATGATACTAATTGGTTTGGCGCTGATGAATTTAGTCCTTTCTCAAATCTAGTTAATGCCTCTACTTTTAATGCCTCCCCAGATGGAACCCAGCCACAAGATTCTGTAAATCAAGAGACATTTGCCCCTGAACAGATTTTAGAAACTCATCGTCGCACTTTCCGACCATCTAGTTCAACTCCAGAGATGGTTGATGCTAAGAGAGGAAAAAAGCAGAAAGCCAGTCGTGCTGCATTGACTAATGATTTCCAGGAAAGGTACTTAATGCTCAAAAAGGAAGAAATTGAGCGATTTGCAACCATAGAAGAGAAGAAAATGGAGGATCCATATAGCATCAAGAAGTGTGTCACAGCTCTTGAGGGGTTGCCTGATCTACAAATGGAAGAGCTGATAAAAGCAGCAGACATATTCAAAGAGAACCCAGCAAACAGAGAAACTTTTCTTTCATTTTCTCATGATGAAACAAGGCTGGGTTGGTTGCGCAAGCAAATGTAGCTTCACATGTGTGCAGGCATGCTACAAGGTTCTTTTGTAAGTAGAAAGGGCTAGCCTTCCAGAGTGGTGGTAGTGTAGAATTGCTACTAGCTTGCTTCTGGAATGGTCTTTTGTATAGACTAATGATACTACAGGACTTATACTAGCTTGTCTCTGCAGTGTACTGAACTATAATCCTAGCATGCCTTCTGGAATGGTGGTAGTGTAGAATTGCTACTAGCATGTCTAGTACAAACTAAGTTACATTAAATATTTGGACTTCTCTACCGATGACTTGTTCTTCTTGAAATGTAATCGTGCCACATCCTATTTGCTATTTCATCTCTCATATCATTCCCAGCTTGGCGTAAATTGTTAAATGCTGGCACATCATTATTGTATTGGTCGTCTCCTTATGGTACATCTTGCATGTTACTTTGATTGATATCTTCGGAGGCACCATGCGCCAATGACATATCTCCATTGTATAGCCGTATAAAATTATGAGTTACACAACAGGCTACAGAGATGTCAACTTGTGTGTCAATATCATATAATGATGCAGCCTTCAGTATGAGGTACCTCATTTTCAATATGCCAATAATTCTCTCTATATGATTTCAAAGTTGAGCATGTCGTAGATTGAATAATTCCTTGTGATTTTATGGTTTTTGTCCAGCTCTGCCCTGTTCTTGTAGATGGTACCTAGTTCCTTGATATGGAGCAAGAAATTCTGGTGTGTTAGCATAGCCTGCATCTATTAGATAGAATTTACCAGGAGGGACACTAAAGCCATGGTTAAGTGCATCCTGGAGAACTCTTGCATTAGAAGCAGACCCCTCCCAACCAGCATGCACGCGCACAAACTTTAGATCAAAGTTACATGCCACCATCATGTTTTGTGATAGACCTTGTTTTTTCTATTTCTATATGGCTCTTGTTGTCCGAGAGGAATAGTCATAGAAATGTGAGTGCCATCAATGGCACCAATACAGTTCTGCATGTATTTGTATGCTTATTAATACTAAAACCATAAATAAAATTAATTTTGCTTTAATATACCAGAGAAATACATTACCTGGAAGTATGGAGCAAATTTAGGTTGTCTTAAGATCCGATGCTGGTGCAGAGAAGGTAGCTGTATGTAGTTGCATGTGAGTTGTGTAAGTGCATTGAGCACTGATCTGAAGTGGCGGCTAATTGTTTCTCCGCTATGCTGAAATATATCTTGCAATGTAGTATTGCTTGCATTTTTGGATATGGCATAAAGGAATATGCCTAGCTGCTATTCCATGTGGAACCGCCTTTTGCATAGGGCCTCATGCCCTGTTAGAGTTTCATGAATAAAGGTGGCTCCATTTCGGATAGAATTATGTATTGGTTTCTTTTTGGATGATTGGGATGAGGTGCCTTCTTCTAGTGTTGGGTGGATGAAGAAAATGAAATCATCTTCATTTTGTGATCATCGGCGATAGTTTGGATCCATAGAAAGGAAAGCACTTCCTATCTCTACAAAGATGGCTGCTAGCATCAGGATGACACGTACAGTGTGTTTGTGTGTACTTGTCTTGCTAGTCTGCAGGTCCAAGTTATATATAGTGACGAGAAGTAAGCAACGGGTAGAATTTCTCAGACCAGACAAGCAAGTAACGGCTACTGGGGCCATGTTTAGATTGCAAATTTTTGTAATCTGGACACTGTAGCACGTTTCGTTTGTATTTGATAAACTTTGTCCGATCATGGACTAACTAGGCTCAAAAGATTCGTCTCGTGATTTACAACCAAACTGTGCAATTAGTTATTTTTTTACCTACATTTAATGCTCCATGCATACGTCTAAAAATTGATGTGATAGAGAGAGAGTGAAAAAACTTAAAATTTAGAGGTGATCTAAACAAGGCCTGGCTTGCATGAGCATCAGACCAGGAAAGAAAGCAACGGCTACTTTGTCATTGGAAAATGTGAAGATTCAAATCTATTTCCTGGAATCCAAACGGTCCACATTTTTAGTTCCTATGGTTTGTAATCCTGTAGTTTTCCGCTTTTTGCTTTCCTCCATTCCTACGTTTCCTATCATTCCTCTGTTTTACATTCCTTTGTTCCAAATAGACCGTAAGAAGACTATATGATTTTACTACGACGTGGCCCTCATTAGTAACTTCAAAAGTTTTATAATACTATAGTGAAATAAATCCTACGCGTCCAAAGTGACCTAAAAATGAGATTTCAGGTTGGTTTTTTGGTCTTTAGTAGTTTAGTCTTTGGAATTTAGAAATTGAGATTAGTGTCTGTATATAAGAGCAACTCCAGTGTCGGTCGTAAATCGAACCGTGGGCAGTTGGAAGCGAACCGTAGACACTACAGCAGTCTGATGCACTGTTTGGTTTCTACATGCGCTCTTAAAATTTCTGTTATATCGAATGTTTAGACACATACATGGAGTATTAAATATATACTAATTACGAAACTAATTACACAACTTTCGACTAATTTACGAGCCGAAACTTTTAAGCCTAATTAGTCCATGATTTGACAACGTGGTGCTACAGTAAATATATGCTAATGATAGATTAATTAGGCTTTAAAAAATTGTCTCGCAAATTAGCCTCTATGTAATTGGTTTTATAATTAATCTATATTTAATGCTTTTTATTAATATCTAAATATTGACATGAATTCTAGGAGATCGGCTGTCGCAGACGCGTCGTACCGAGAGCAAATAATTAAATAATATAGTTGGCCCATGGGCTTGCCTTCGTCCCACCGAGAGCAGTAAAAGAAGGACATGCAAAAGCGAGTTTTGTCAGACGCTGGTTCGACCACGACGCTGCAGCAATCGAACTCAATTTTTGGTTGGCTTTTGTCACATATTGGTTCGACCACGACGCTGGAGCTGCCCAGACTGATTGGTCAGGTACTTGAAATTTTGTGTTAAGTTCTTCGGTTCTGATAGATCGAATAGCTACCAGCACACAGGAGCAATGGAGGGCAGCAAGGAGTTCGAGCATAGAAAATGAGAGACTCCACAGTCAAGAGTTTGCATATAGAATTAGAAGAGAAAAAGGAGCAAAATGAAGAGATCTCATATAGATCTTCTAGCCCCTACTCAATAAGCCTCAACAATGTGAGAGACGACGAAGAATGAAACACTTGCATCTGGGCGGCCATTGCCTATGAATGCGCTGCCACCGGGTAGGTCGACAGGGATGGGTGCGAGAGAGTTGCCGGAGATGTAGGTGGAGGCAACAACTGTCACGGCCCACCTACAGTGGCGCACTCGAGGAGATTTTCAGCCTGTTAGCTTGTTGATTTTCGCCAGGGCTTATCAGCCAGCTAACAGTGGTTTCCTCTCACAACGAACCAGCACCAGCCGAGTTTATCAGCCCAAAAACCAACTAGCGAACATGCCATTTGTGGTGGGAAGGAAAGGGCCAAGGGGAGCGTCGCTCGAGAGTGGACGGGTTGAGTGAGAGGTTGAAAGGAGATAAGACAAAATAGGAGAGACCAGGAGGAGATAATTAAGGCAGGGTCGTGTGACTTTTTAGGTTATCGGGTAATATGTATAAACACTAAACATCCTAAGTGTTGAAAGGACTACTTATATATTATGTCATTGTTGCAAATAATGTACAGTGTACAATCTATAATCCATTTTGAACAAAATATAAAATGTGCGTTTTAAAATAAAAGGTGCAATGAGCACTAAAATTTTAATTTACAATAAGGATAGAAACTGTATAAACTAGTGAAGGTCCCGGTTTGGTTTTGGTAATTGAGTGCTAATTTTAACTGGACTAATATGTTTCATGTAAGATGAACAGGTACTTAGTCCACACACACTAGGTTGAGCAAGCAATGATAGCCATGGTGAAGAAATGTCTTATGATGTGATGTAAATGCTCAACAGTAAAGATGAATGAGCTTATTGAATATGACACATCAGAGACATCCTTGATGAAAAAAGATTATATAGTACTCCTTCGCTCTAAATTATAAGATTTTTTTTTACTTTTCTAGATATATAACTTTTACTATTCACTTAGGTATATAATAGGTCTAGAAACATATTCGAAATAATATCTAACAATTAAAATATCTTATAATTTAGAATGAACGAGTAGCAATAAACCATGACCTTTCTTGTACAACACTCATAAACTTATATATTTTTTCTTAGGAGATGAACTTATATGTTTGGCGCTGCACAATGTGAAGTATATATAAGCTATAGAGATAAAGACAAAATAAAGAAAGGCAGCAGACTTGATCCTCTTTGCATTTCAGTGCACTCCGATGCTCCCAGCTGGCAGCTGCAGTGCTGTCTGGTTCGTGACAAACCCCGGACAACACACGTCTCTTGACCTCCGTTCGCATTCTGGCCGCGTCCCTGCTATCCCGTGTTTGCTTCAAGCAAATCCTTGATCTCCATCCTGCAATGCCACATTGCCACCTCTTTTTTCCTCACTGCGGCTTTCGGAGACGATCCGATGTGACACAGCCTGTTGGCTCCATAGTCCACATCAGTAGCTCTCAAAGCTGGCTAAAGAGACCGGGAAACGATAGCCGGTGGGGGCGGCGCCGCGGACGGCCCGAAGTGGGAGGCGCGGCAGACCGGCCGTTACGAACGGAAGGATTAGAAAACCACGCAGACGCGCTGGGAGCCTGGGAGTGGGAGGAATCCGTTCATCAAAGGCGAAGTGGCTGCCGAAAGCGGTGTCGGTTCGGTGCCGGGTGGGGGCGCTGCGCCGCTGCCGCGCAATCAACTCCCACCCCCTTCCAGCAGCCCCCTGTCCTGGCCTCCCTCTCGTCTCGGCTGGTCCACCTCTGCCGCCCGCGCACGGCCGCTCCCGGGGCCGGTTTCGCCACCAACGGACGGCACTGCCGTACTACGGCAAACGGATCAGAATCATTCGTTCCAGTTCTTGTACGTCCTTCCGTTGTTCGCCCAACATCTCCGTGCTCCGTGGCTTTCAATTCCCCATCAACATTCCTAGCAACCGTCCTACGGTGGTGCAGTAGTG